GCCTAAAATGACTGAATTTGCGGCATTTTTTTTTGTCCTGTTTTGCAGTGAAAATGTACCAGAGATTACATTTCTGACCTCAAGAGAAGGCCATATCAAGGCCATATATGCTGTATCAAATATATGACAAAACATAAACCTATATAAAACCATTCTTTCATATTTCATCTAAAGGTTAAAAAAACAGTTCCATTAAAAAAAAAAAAAAAATTATATATATATATATATATATATATATAAGTAAAAAAAAAAAATATATATAAATATGTACATTTTAAAGATTATTACTAATGTCCTAAGAGAAGGAAGTTTTCAAGAGTACATTTTCTTTATATTGCTTTACAGCTGTGTCCCTAATTTTTGTTTATATTTTAATAGGACCTATTTAAAGGGAAAAACCTACAGCACTTAAAAATTTAATATATATATATATATATATATGAATAGGCTGTTTTCTTTTTATTTATTAAAAAAATTGACTCTAACACTGGCATTCTTATTTTTCTATTCTGTCTACTTGTTTTCTTTTTATTTATTACAAAAAAAAAAGCTTGCTTCATGTACTGCAATATACTAACGATAGAATAGTTGGTTAACCCTGGATACCACTGTATTAGCCGTTCCATAAGTGGCATCTACTGTCAGAGAGTGAATTTAAATTTTAAACTAAAAATGTGTAATTTTAATTTAATTTTTTTAATCTTTTTGAATAATTTTAAAACTAAAACTTAGACTAATGATTCCAAACACTGTCTTTTTTTTACCCTCTATCTTCGCAACTTATCTCTCAGAATTTGATTATGACAGGAGCAGAACAGAATCTTCAGGATGGCGAGCACCCAGCAGTCTGCACAGGAATTCCTAGGAAATGGACACAATCTGCTAACTGGATCTCATTTAAACTGTGATCCTGTAATTGAAGCCTTAAACCAGTGCAAATTCTTCAAAACTCATGAGCTTAATTCAATTGAATCTGCGGAAATTACCCAGGATAAGATAAAGATTATACTTGACCTAGTTATTTCTAAAGGTGAAGAAGCATGCTATAAGTTTTTAAAAATTCTTGACAAAAAAAGATTTCAAGTATTTCCAAGACCTGGTTTGGGTTCTCCAGATTTACACCACTGGATTAGTTGCTTCTCCTTCCAGGAAGAACCACAATCTCAGACAGCAAACAAAGCAGGTGTGTAACAAGCACAGGAATTCTGTATTCTTCTTCTTGTGTCAAGTAGTCGTTCAGTGACCGTTCTCGATCAATCAAGTCTCAAAATTTAAGGAATTTGGAAACAGGCAATGCTAAACAAACACCATATTTTTGTAATTGTCATTTTGTGACAAGAAAATTTAGTCTATTTTGATTGACCTTTTTAAGACTGGAGCATATATTCAGAGAAGTGCACTGGTTTTCACTGTACTGTTGTAGATATCTAAAGAATTTTGTTTTAAAATGTTTTCCAGATTCAGATCCTTGTACCACATACCAGGGCCTTTTGAGATGGAAAGCAAGACAAATCCTGGATGATAAATGGAACCAAAGTATGAATTTCTTAAAAAATGAGCAAAAAAGAAAACCCTTCATGTACGTACCCCTTGTTATGGACACAGATTCTAGTACAGTTGCAAAGCTTAAGAAGAACAAGGGATACAAGAAATCTCGTTCAAAGAAACTGAAGACCTACATTCCAACAGCCAAGAAAATGTTGTCTCCCAAAGACTTGCTAATGAATGATGAGAAAAGCATCCTGCTTGTGGGAAAACCTGGAGTGGGAAAAACAACAGTTGCACTGGAGATACTTAGACTTTGGACAGAAGAGAAAAACATTCCAGTGAGTTATATGTTTTATTTTGATGAGCCACTGATGAGAGTCTTCTCTCAGTCTCCATATCCTCAAAATTTGAAGGATCTTCTTTTTCAAAAGTACATATCCCCAGATAAAGCGTCCGATCAAGTCCTGGAAAATATTGAGAGCAATTCAGAGAATGTTGTTATCATTTTTGATGGTATCATGGATGTGATTGGAAACTCTGTGATTAAACAGCTTATGGAGAAAGAACTTCTAAAGGATGCAAAGGTGTTGACCACTTGCAGACCAGAAGCCGAGGATACAGGTTATTTGTCAGACTGGCGGTCTTATCGAGTGGAAGTTCAGGGCTTTAATCATAAGTCCATCTATGAATACTTTAAGTGGATGTTGGGAACAACAGATGACATTGGTGCTTTGGAAAACCCAGAGTTGTTTAGTTTATGCTCTGTACCACTGTATGCCTTCATAGTAGCTGCCTGCATTTCAGTAAGTCCTACTGAAGCAAGGAATAAGCCATTTACAGTTACAGAGATGTATGTCCGAATTTTTCGCTTTTGCATGAAACAACACGGGCACCAAGATGTGGAGCACTTGGATAAGTACATTAAAGATAACAGGAGGGATGTCGTAAACTTAGCCTTGGTCTCCTATCAAGCAATGCTAGCAAAGACAGTGAACCTGACAGATTTGAATCATGAAGATAAGTCTGTGCAAAATGCTTTCTTGACAAAGCAATTCTGGAACCCATCCACAACCTCTTGCAAAGTGTATGCATTCATGCATAATACAATGCAAGAGTTTTGGGCAGCTCTTTATCTCATTTTAAATCCTGACAAGATTACCAATGTACTGGATAAATGCCAAAACGATGAAGATGGAAAATACCTTAAATATATCATGCCATTTTTGTCTGGACTTCTTTCTGATAATGTAGTTGAGCTCATAAAGTGTTTGGTGCCAGTAGAACAGATAGAAGCCACACGTGTCAAGTACTTTCAACAGATTATAGATACTTTCCTTTACACCAAAGAACAGGATCAAGAAGGCGATTATGAGCAGTTTGTGGAAGCTGACAACATCTTATTTGTGTGTCGATGCCTTTATGAGTATCAGTTTCCTAAGGCATGCCGACTCTTCCTGGAAAAGGTTCAGTATGAGCTTGATTTAGAAGACCAAACACTTGATCCTTACCAGTGCTGTGTAATATCCTATGTGGTCAATCAAGCTGTGCATCGGAATATTGATCTGGATCTCACAGATTGTAGCATTACTGACCCCGGCTTGAAACTACTTCTAAGCTCATTGAAAAATCTGACATTTCTCAGGTACAAGAAGTTCAGTTATGGCTGTTGAAACAAACAGTCACTCCCTTTCATGAGTGTCAAGCAATGACAAAAATTATATGATGTTTATTTTTGTTCCTAGGTCAACAAGCACATTGAAATCTCAAATGTGGAGAGTGGCTCTTGCAGCAGGGCAGTTTTCAGATTTTGATAGCTTGCTTAACTTATTCAGCTTTGAAATGCATCTCTCTGCACTTGAAACACTGGACCAGAAAGTGTTTCAAAGGATAGGAGAAGTCCTTAAAAATAAGAGATCAGAGATCAGTGTTCATCTTTTTCTGCATGTAAATGAAGAAGTCATAACCAGATCTTTGCAGAAGGCAATTTTTGAGAGCTTACCCAATATTGCAACCATTAGGTACAACCAGTTACACTTATTTATTTATTTATTCATTTCACTTTTTTTACTTAATTCACATATTCTGTATTTTTTTCTCATTTGTTCATAGGATTTTCCCCCATCTGTTTAAAGTAGCTATAGAAACAGAGCTCTATCTTCAAGGAGCTATTTATGAGATGAAGACAGGTCAACGATGTGTAAGGAGACTGCTGTCTGTTTGCAGCAATAATCAAAGAGAAAACTTTGATGATCAGTGTAAATTCTTGCTGAAACTGCATGAACATGCCAAGAACATGGATGCTCTTCCAGTTTTGCAACCTGTTTTCTATGCATTGCCACGTACCTGGGTTGTACAGCCTTCAAACCCATCAGTGTCACTACTTCTCCAAACCATGGAAGTTCTAAATTTAAGGAAGCCCGCTGAACTAGATCATGTCACATATGAGCTGAGTGAACTTAAAATAATTATTCAATGTATGCCCTACATTACAGAAATGAGGTGACTTTTTTTTTTTAATTGTGTTTATTTAAAACAACTAGGTATAGTTCTTAAGTAAGTTTTTTTTTTTTTTTTTTCATTTTTTATACAATGCAGGTTCAGTGCTGCTCTCAGACAGCCCAAAGACATCCCCAAAATTGTTAAGATTGTTGCTGATCTTTTCATTCTTGCATCTGAAAGTGGAGGGGGGAAACTAAGAAGCCTTTCTACAGCATGCAGTTACTCAACCTTTCCCTTCGCTGAAGACAGCAAAGACATGCAGAGCTCTTTCCTTATGGATCTCTTCACCCAGTTGAAGGAAAGTTCATCATGGAAGACTGCACTACCAGCATTGAAGCCCATTCTTCAGGTTGCCCCTGCTGTATGGACATTGGACCTACAAAAACTAGAGAAGACTTTTGCTCTTACTGAACTACTGAAGCTTCAGGCCATCAAAAAAACTGTGGCGCTCATAAGCTGGTCATGTGAAAGAGAAAAACTTAGGAGTTTCCTAAATTGTTTACCCTATATTTCACACCTTTGGTGAGTTGATTTGCTAAGACAAATTTAAAATGCATGATGTTTCATTTGGTGGTGTAAAAGGTTAATCCAGAAATGAAAATTCTGTCATAATTTATTCACCTGTATGACTTTATTTCTTTTGTAGTACACAAATAAAGTTATTTTGAAGAATGTTGATAACCAAACCGTTTTGGTTATATTTGACTTACATTGTATGGACAAAACACTGAGACATTTATAAAAAACTTTTCTTTTGAAGAAAGAAAGTCATACAGGTTAGAAACAACATGAGGTTGAGTGAAAGATGACAGCACTTTCATTTTTTGCTGGACTATCTCTTTAAGTTGGCATATTTTAGTGTGCTTCCTTGCATTTTCTTGTTTGATTTGTGTAGTAACTTTACATGCAACTTGCTATTTCGTTATAGCTGTAATGAGCAGTTTTTCCAGTCTGTGTGTGAAGTCCTTTCAGCAGACAGCGAATGGAATCCAAAACAGATTGCTGAGCTTTTAAGATCCCTTGGTTTTAGCATTTCTTTGATAGACATGCTGCCAAGTCGCCTCTGCGAAGCTGTTGGCAATGTTTTTAAACTGCTGGACAAAGAGGAGGACATCTCCCTCAGTCTTCTTCCTCAAAGGATCTCTTGTCAAGGTTGTGCCTACCTCTTTTCAAATGTGAAAAAGCTTCAAACATTGAGGTAATAATTTTTATGATGTAAATTCACTGCACAAATTTCAGTGTTCTGACCAAGTACGCCTGCTTACTTTTTTTTTTTTTACCATTTTTGATTTTATTTAACTTTTTTTTTTTCAGAGTAAATGAAGTAGCAACTGCAAAGCTGGCAAGACTGGTTATATCAGATAAAGAAATAAATGCTGTAACTGTGGAAGAGCTGTCATTGGTTTTGGATAACTCTCACCTACCAGAGAGAGCACTATGCCAGCTATTAAGTAAGCTAACTTCCCTTCTTAGAGTCTGGAGAGTCCACAACTTGAACCTGTCTGAATTTAAAATTGAGCCTCACTGGCTCATTTGTCTGCTGTGTCATCAGGGTCCCTTGTCCATTAAGTAAGCGTGATTCTGCTGTGGAATAAATGCATCTTTTTTTTTTTTTTTAAACCTTGAAATGTTTGTTTACTTGAAAAAAATGTATATTAATAAGAATTCTGTGACAACAGATTTCCTGAAGGGACTCTGCAACGACTGGCAGAAATTGTGTATGATGCTCAAGATGAAAATTTGACACAGTTGTTCCTGGAGAAAACGGATGGTGATTTATCACCTTATAATTTTTCCTGGGAGGTTTTATCTTACCTAATTCAGGGCACCAAAAAGCAAGTGACACTAGACCTTGCAGAGGGTAGATTTAGTGTCTTGAAAGTTCCGAGCCTTCTTGCTTTACTGGACACAGTGTGCTTTAAAAGGCAATATCTTTACTGGTGTACAGTTTAATATATCTATTCATATCTACACTTTATGGTGTTGTTAGCATTAGACATTCTAAAATAATTCTTCCTTATAATGCAGGATAAGCCCGCGGTTTGTCAGGGCTGCATTAAAGGAGATATACCAAAACCATGCTGGTCATCTGATTGTGAAATTAGTTAAATCTTCAGCTAACCTGATTAACCTTTGCATGAGAGAGCTGGATTCAACTGACTGCAAAGCCCTCTGTTTTGCCCTGCACTATAGTGATGGTGTTAAGCTCAACCTGTTGAACTCTGTCATACCAAATAATGAGACTGACAGCATCGTCAAACTTCTGCACAGAGTATCTGATCTGAGGTAATGTGCTCAAATAATTTTTGTTCAACTTACATTTAAAATTCGAATGAGTTTTGCATTGCTCACAGCACTACTGCTTTATGGGACTAGGGTTGATAGAAAGCTGTTGTTGAACTTTCTTCATGCCTCTAAGAACATGGAAAAACAAGGATATTCGGCGTCTTCCCTTTTGACTGCACTGAACCACAAACTGGACTTCTCCTGCAATTCTTCCCTCAGCAGTGGCCGTTCTGGTCAGGAGAATAGGGATCTTCTAACTATGAGTCGTATGGATTTTACAGCCATTTCTTCTGCCATTAAAACATCAACGTGCGATACAGAATTGATTTTATACGACTGCCAAGCAGATGATTCTGCACTTGAGATTCTATTCCCTATTCTGCACAAAGTGCATCTTCAGTAAGTCCTCATATATTTTTTACATAAATGAAGGTAATTCATTTTATTGTTAGATTTCTACAGAAGATTAAATGATTCAGTTGCAAAAATGTCTGTTTTACAGCTTGGGCAAAAGTCTTCTTTGTCAGGTTTTAACCTTGATTTCCAATGCCCCCATGGCCATGTCTTTGCAATGGGCATCGTCACTTTCCAAAGCTCTTGGAAAAGAGCTGAACCTCAGTGACGTTCCTCTTAACTATCGTACATGTGAGTCTCTGCAGTTAGTCCTGGATGACAAAGAGGAGCTCACACATCTTAATCTCAGCTATTGTCAGATCACAGATGCGTGCTTGGATCTTTTGCTGCCTCACCTCCACAAAATTATGATTTTAGAGTGAGTATTTATAGGCTAATTAAAGAAAAGACTGGGCTGTTTTTTTTTATTTTATCTATTTCTTTATTTAAACCATATGATTAATGATTTATCTTAACACTTTTTTTTCAGTCTTACTGGAAATGACATAACTGATAAAGGTGTTCTGAGACTGCACCAAGCCTTAGATGAAAACAGTTTCACAAAGACCATATGGTGATTATGGTGTTAAATATTTTGTGCAGCTAGCACTGTACATTGAAATTTTATTGGAAAAATAAATTACAAATTCTCTGGTAAAAAAAAAACTGATAATTAGTTCATTTTAATTGCCCTTATTCCAGGGGTACAACCTAAATGTTTTGGATTATTTAACACATTAATTTAAGATCATGGAGTACTCTACAATATGATGGGGATTTTTTTAGTAGTAGCTTATAAGTCACACAATGTCACAGTGCTTGTCAAATTGTTACAGTCTTTTTATGGTAAAGTTCTCACCATCTCAGTTGCCAGTTTATCTGTTTGTTTGTTTAAGTAACAGTTTTGGTTTGTTCTGATGTGTTAAACAGAATTGAATTCTTGATCATCTTTATTCAATCATTTGCACAGCATTTGTGACAACCAAGTAACAGAGATGGGCCTCCTGGTGGAAGAAGCACGCTTTGAAACCCAACAGGCTGATACAAGAAGATGCATCCACACACAGAATTACATTACAAAAGATTTGAGATCAAAAAGTGAGATGGAAAAATCAATCAGTTCTTTTGTTAAGGTACTGGTACCAAGAATTTGTTTCTTTTGTGTTTGTGAGAGTGTTCAGCTATTTTTGAACAGCATTCTGAAAAGGTTGTATGTCATATGCAGTTTGCAGCACAGAGAGATTTAATAGACCAGTTATGAGCTAGCAAAAGCCTAAATCATTAGTTGCGTGAAGATGAAGGAATGATATTTTTGTTTTATGAATGGTAGATGTAAGTGGAATGTCAGTAAAGGACAACAGATCATGTTCATCCTTCACTCATGGGCCAATTGCAAACAGAAGGGTAATGTGGTAGGAAAGGGAACCTCAATCTTTATTTAAGGATGGGTGATAAAGTGTGCCCATTCTTAATTAGTTGTCAGCAATGTATGCTGAGATTATCTCTGTAGTTTTGGAGCTGCGGATCTCTGTGTCATCTTATGTTAAGGTGCAGGGTGAAGATAGTGAACATTTCTAACTGATAAATAGGGTATAGGATACAAGCAGGAAAAGCACAGATGCAATAAAACACTAAGCATTTGCTTAATACATATTTCTCACACTAAAATATGATAACCTAAAGAGATAGTTCAGCCAAAACATGAACCACCCTCGTGTGATTCCCACCTGTATGACTTCATTTCTTCAAAAGAAAATATATTTTTAGAAATATCTTTATGTTGTTGTCCATACAGTGTAAATCAAATAACCAAAATGGTTTGGTTATTTACATTCTACAAAATATCTTCATTTATGTTCCATAGAAGAAATAAACTTATACAGGTTTGGAACAACATGGGGGTGAATAAATGATCACAGAATTGTAATTTTTTTTGTGAACTATCCCTTTAACACTGCCTAATGAAACATCAGGCATGCATTTAATTTTACAAAGCAAATCAACCTAAGGTGTAAAATATAGGGTAAACAATTCAGGAAGGCAAAATGACATATACAAGAGAAAAGCACAGATCCTTTGCTATTTCTTAAGTGATTTCTCATTCTTTAAACTTGTTAGTAGTAAAAAGTCATGTAAAAAACATTTTATATAAAAACATCTTATATTGTAGACAGAAGATCTCATAAAGACGTTTGAGCCTGAACTAGCAGTAAATAATGGCAAGATTTCCTATAGGTCAGTAAATTCTCTTTGTCTTTGAGGTATGACTTTATTCATTAAAAAATATGACTTTTCTGTGTGAAATAGTTTCTCGAAAATGATTTTTTAAAATTGTCTTGCAGGTTTCAGTGGAAAACAGAAGGCCTTTTCATGTGCAGCGCAACAGGGCTAGTGTTCGGCTTGAAAGGAAGTGGATGTGTAGAGTACAGTGTGGCTCACTGGGATGTGCGTCTCCTCATCAACACTCACTATGAGCCTGCTGGACCTCTGTTCGATATCAAAACCCCTACAGGAGAAATCTATGAACTCCACCTTCCACACTGTGAGACACACGGTAAATGATAAAGCATGGATACCCTGATGAATGGAGATCCTATGGATACCCTACATATTATGAATATTCAAATGATTGTATAGAGAACTGAAATCAGCGCATATCAGTTCAGTTTCATTATCATTCATTAACAATGATGTTGGGCTTCTGAGCTCTGTTGTACAGTATAGTGAGCTGTCTCTGCTGTGATTCTGATGCTGCTTCCTCATACCTTCCACACTGTGAGACACACGGTAAATGATAAAGCATGGATACCCTGATGAATGGAGACCCTATGGATACCCTACATATTATGAATATTCAAATGATTGTATAGAGAACTGAAATCAGCGCATATCAGTTCAGTTTCATTATCATTCATTAACAATGATGTTGGGCTTCTGAGCTCTGTTGTACAGTATAGTGAGCTGTCTCTGCTGTGATTCTGATGCTGCTTCCTCACTGAAATGGAATCTTTTAAATAACTGATTCTTTGTAAACATTCTTTGACTGACTAGAAATGGTTTCTTACAAAGCTCTTAAAAGACTTGACTAATATTGCATATTATTTTACATTTAGATGGGATGATTTTTGGTCATTTTCAGTATTGAATCAAATGCAATTGACAGTATGTCAACTCCACACTAAGGACATGTGTGCCTTATGTGGCCTTGATGAACAGCTCACTAGGTTTTCAAACACAATAATATTCATCTTATTTTGCCATCAAATTAGGGTTTTGATGGATTAAAGTCTAGAAAAAGTTGCTTATATAAATATTTCTGTGTGAGCAGAAAAACTGTATTTAAAAATAGTACTATTTAATCCCGACTGTTTGTTTTTTTTATTATAAAACTTAACTGGGTTTTTATCTTTTTTTAACCACTTTTTATCTACAGTTGATGCAATTGGAAGTCTTTCTGTTGTCCATATACACAACGAGGACACTTGGGAATTCCTCTCTCCAAATAAAATTTCAAGAACGCATATAGCTGTAAATGTCTGTAGGTTATCTAGGTACGGCATTGTGCATGAGAATAATCAAAATAACAAAATCATCAATGGCCAGGTGTTGCTGTTCCAAGAACCTGACATGTCACTGACACAGCAAAGGCTATGGGTTTTTCTTTTGCCAAGCAATGTCCCACTCTCCGAGGTCTGATAATCTTTCATTTGCACTCATTTTATTTTGTAGAGATTATTTTTAATACACATCACTCATAGTCTTGTTTTGCCAGCAGATTAAAGAACAGCAACAACAGTATGTGTTCATTCAAACCAGCTCTGACTGCAAACTACAGATAAATGCAAAGTACACTCTGATCTAAAAAAAAGCCAAAAGAGTCCAACCGAAGGTATGTGAATTCAGAGATTGTTTCTCCCAGACCACAAAGTTGTTTTATCACACTGTGAAGCTAAACTGGGTAACGTCCATTGGCACAGAGAATTTGCTGATTTTACTAACCTTAGAAAATGCTATTCAGCTTCTTTTGTGTATGGTTATGGTTTGTTGTATCATTTAGGAAAAAATATTTGAACCCTTGCACGCTGGTAATCACCATCCTACATTTGAAGTCTTCTTGGATAAAGATGTGACTGAACTGCGAATTAAAATTCAACTTAAAATAAAGGAAAGTGATACGATTAACTTCAAAAATGCATGGAAGCGTTGGATAATTCTCAAGAAAAACACAGGTAATTAGACATTTTTGGTAATTAAGTAAGTTTTGGTAATTAATGATTTTTCCCCCCCTCATGTAACTGATAGATAATCATGCACAAATGAGATTTGAAGAACATTCTAACATTCAAGGTACCATAATTCTTTTTGAAGTTCCCTGAGATTCACAGAATGCATAATTTTTTTAAATGCCTGATAATTATTTGTTAATTTTGTGTCTAGTAAACTGTAAAACCTGGATATCTGCTCTTGGTGAAATCATGAAGGATCTTAAAAGTGAGGAGTTCAAGAAACTGAAGCATTTAATGACGCACACTGGGAAAAGACATCCCATTTGTTCAATGAGACTTGAAGAAACAAAAGACCGGTGTGAGTTGGTGACTTTGGTTCTTAAGACATGGGGATTCAAAGAATCAGTGAAAGCCATACATGAGTTCATGAAGGAGCTGCCTCGCAATGATGAATCTGTGACAGACCGACTAAAGCCATATGTGACACTGTTTGGCCTTGAGGGTTAGAGAATATCACAGACTTTTCAATCATTTTGTAGACAGATCTCAGTGTAAAAACACTTTTTATTAGCCTAACGCTCAACAACAGATTACCTCAGTGTGGCAATATTTCAAGCCTTGAATAACTGTTGATTGTACTTCAACTGTAAATTCTAACCTGTGTATGTGGCTTTGTAATTGATTTTGTAAATGAATTGTAAAGATGTTCAGGTTACTTAGGCTATATGTTCATATACTGGATTTATTTAGCTGATGCTTTAATCCAGAGTTAATTAAAAAATTAAGTAGACAGCAACATGAGAAGTGCTGCAATTATGTGTACTGTAATTATGACAACGGGCTGTTTCTATTATTTGTTTATATGAGAATCATATGTCCAAATATTTCACAAATTAAGTTTAGATGACATTTTTGGTAATTAAGTAAGTTTTGGTAATTAATGATTTCCCCCCCCTCATGTAACTGATAGATAATCATGCACAAATGAGATTTGAAGAACATTCTAACATTCAAGGTACCATAATTCTTTTTGAAGTTCCCTGAGATTCACAGAATGCATAATTTTTTTAAATGCCTGATAATTATTTGTTAATTTTGTGTCTAGTAAACTGTAAAACCTGGATATCTGCTCTTGGTGAAATCATGAAGGATCTTAAAAGTGAGGAGTTCAAGAAACTGAAGCATTTAATGACGCACACTGGGAAAAGACATCCCATTTGTTCAATGAGACTTGAAGAAACAAAAGACCGGTGTGAGTTGGTGACTTTGGTTCTTAAGACATGGGGATTCAAAGAATCAGTGAAAGCCATACATGAGTTCATGAAGGAGCTGCCTCGCAATGATGAATCTGTGACAGACCGACTAAAGCCATATGTGACACTGTTTGGCCTTGAGGGTTAGAGAATATCACAGACTTTTCAATCATTTTGTAGACAGATCTCAGTGTAAAAACACTTTTTATTAGCCTAACGCTCAACAACAGATTACCAACCAACAGTGATGCGACGTCTTTGAAAATCGTGCAGTGTGAACTCGGCATAAGAGAGAAAGAGGCACATTGAACATCTAAATCTAAATATTTCACACACACCAAGTATATCATCTTTTAAACACTTCACATCCATCCTTTAGCCTATTTAAAAGAATGACCATAGCTGTGATTAAAACAAGGCACATTGAAACTTATGTTTACTTGTAATTGTGTGTGTTTTTTTTGGTCACAATACCAATATTTATTTATTGGTATTTACTTAACATAATTTATCTGTACTTTTTAATCATGGTGCGTACGTACCATTCTAAAATATTCAGAGCTGAATCTAAATATTTTAAACTTGCTTAGTTTCGTATATAAAAATAACAACAAAAAAAGCATAAGTATATTAGTTTACACTGATCTACACATTGTGTTTTCTCTGCTATCGGGCATTTTCGGAAATTTTCCTCACTAGTAGGCTACAGAGATCACTGAAGCCGATTTTACACAAGAAATCTAACATCCTTGTCATGTTTTCTCCATATTAACCGCAAGGGGAGCAATATCTCACTTTTCTTCACAGCTGCTAGTTATCTCATTACGAAAAAGCAATTCATCTTTTTTTAACCGGAGGTCTTGTTAGCTCACGTACGATTTGGTTGTTTGATACCAGGAACCCGAGGTTCGAACACCATCCATATAGTATTGTTGTTTGTTAACACAAAGTTTGCTTTTCAGTTAATTACTCTGATTTTAATTGAGACTGGACAAACCACGATGAGGCCTGTGACTCAGCGCACTGCAAAGCAGCTGCTCCACAGCAAGTTCGTTGTGGTCTTAGGCGATTCAAGTGAGTACTTCCGAAGATTAATAGGTATTGTGATAATAATGGGCTTCGTGATTTTTTAATAAGACTGCTTTCTCTCTAGTTCAACGCTCGGTTTACAAGGATCTAGTCCTCATGTTGAGGAGAGATGCGTATTTAAGTGTATCACAGCTAAAAAGCAAGGTCAGTATCTGGATTTATGTTTTATTAGTTGTATGTCTTTTTTTTTTTTTTACAAATCTTTTGATGTACATATTCAAAAATAAATAAATATATTTTGTATGTAAAATTCAGATTGAGAGAGTGTGTTTAAATGGTAGGCCTGTCTGATTTCTTGCTGGTGTACACTTGTAGACCATTTTGGACCAACAACAAACCAGCTACAGTACCAGCTGGCCTTGCCATTTTAGTGTTGACAAGCTGGTTTTTGGGACATTATAGCTGGTTGACCATCTAATAACCAGATACCATGTCCAAAAGTTCAGCTATCTATACTTCTCATCATCAAGATTTTGGCAAAACACTCCAATGTACAGTTTTTGATCAATAAATGTGTGAATAGAGGAAAACACGAAGCTGCTGTGAATATTGTTACTTCTGTAGTAACTGTGAGAAGAATAGGAACTTTCCTTTTTCCAGTATAGATTAAGCAATGTCTGATGCATCTGTCTTGTCCATATTTCCCAGGGTGAGTTTTCCTTTGAGCAAGACTTTCTGGTAGAAGGTGGCCGACTAGGTGAAATGAATAATGGCACTGCCTATAAAGAAGTGAGACAGTACAGAACGGATCACCACTTGATCCGTTTCTATTTTGTCACGCGTGTTTTTTCACGCTACATGGAGAGCATCTTGACTGACTTTGAAACAGGAATGAAACCAGACCTGGTCATCGTCAATTCTTGTGTGTGGGACATATCAAGGTGGGAGTGATCTTCTTTACAGCTTTTTACAGCTATAAGATATTTAGAATGTCATAATTATTTTTCAATTAAGATTATTTTTGTTTTACTGCAATGTACAGGTACAGCCGTGAATGGGCAACCGAATATAGAAACGACCTTAACACATTCTTCAGTAAACTGAAGGCCATTTTGCTCACAGAAAGCCTGGTCGTGTGGAACATGACCATGCCTTTGGGAAAGAAGATTGTGGGTGGATTCTTGGTTCCAGAGGTGGGTTACAAAAACAAAACTATATGGTAGAGAATGGACCTTCTCGAACAATGATGATGAGAATCAATAATCCTGTACTTTTTCATCTTGCCCACAAATTCAGATCCAACACATGGGTCCCACATTGAGATTCGACGTGATCGAAGCAAACTACTTTGGAGCCACTCTTGCCAATGAGTACGGCTTTGATGTGCTAGACTTTCACTTCCAGTTCCGGTTCAGCCTGCAACATCGTATGCAGGATGGTGTACACTGGAATGCTGTGGCCCACCGGCAGATTACATGCCTGCTACTGGAGCATGTAGCGCAGGCGTGGGGAGTGGAACTGCCAGATCATGGTGAGAAATGCAGGTCGAGTTTGTTGTCATTGGTTAGCTGTAGCATAAAGGTGCAAAATACTGTAAGATTCTATAATTTTGAAAGAGTGGTGGATTTTGGTTGGGTCCTAGAATAAAAAATGTTTGTTTTTTGTTTTTCTGGCATCACTCTCTGTACCAACAAAACAGTTCACATTATCACATTTTTGTTTAATGACTTACCTAAGAGTACATAGAACATTTAGTAACCCATTTGTATTTCTTTCTTTCTTTCTTTTCTTTCTTATTTTTGCAGACCAGGTTAAGGCAGATGGTCACCCACCATTACATGACAGCCATAACTGGAAGACTGCTACCTCAAGTGCTCTCGTACGCCATCAAGGTACACTACTGTACAAAAGTTTGGACTCCGTATGTTGTTGTTTTTTGTTTTGGAGAATGAGTAGATTTAATAAGGATGAATTAAATTAATTGTCGAAGAATCATGATAAATCATAATTTTCACCAAATTAAGCAACACAACTGTTCTCAACATTGATAATACACTAAAAAAAATTTAGATTTGCCATCACAGGAATAAATTACATTTTAAAATCTATTAAAATATATTTTATCAATTATATTAAAACCGCTATTTGAAATTATAATTTCACACTGTTTCTGTTTTTGATCAAATGAAGTCTTTGAGCATAAGAAAATTATACCAACCCCAAACTTTCTGTAGTATATACTGTATATAACTTGCAACATTTTTTTTCTGTGTAACACTTAATAATTCAAAACATGCCTTTTTAACAGGTCCTCTATATAGCAACGAGAGAGGCTTCAATCCACCTGTGATGCCTGCCATCCATTATAACAATGGTAACAATCAAGCCACTCCTGAGAAAATTTACTTAACCAGCACAGTTATTCTCATGATGATTCATTTTGGAACAACTAATTGTACAATTCAGTTAGCGCTGGGGGATGTTGTAGTCATCGATATGCATAGATGCCATATTCGACCGCTCCAGATACGTTGACACGTCCACCATTTTGGGACCGTCAACTTGACGTCATCCACCATAATCTATGGTTATTAGTCATGTTTGATTATTTTGTTAAAATGAAAGTGATCGTTCTTGCTCTCATTTTCTGGCTCCAGCCTGGACACAAGGCCAAATGATGAGGCAGTTCAGTGGCTTTGGGTCACAGTTCAGCGGCTATGGTGCACAGTTCTACAGCGACAGTGTACCTCCCCACTTAACAGCAGGATACCAGAGCTTTGAAAGGGAACCCTTCTACAGAGGTACAAATAGATTTAACTATTTTTCTCAAACTATCTGTATCTTAATGTATTATATTAATGTAAAATTGTACTAAACGTCTATTTATTTATAAGGTGTTAATTCAGCTGCTGCCCCCTACTGGCCAGTGAACAACTTTGTCATGAAACGCAAACAGAGAAGACCATATAATCCTTACACACGAGAGAGACCACGTACTTACAGATACTAAATCGACTCTGTTCTCATTGTGTATGGACAGAATGAGGCATTGTTGAATCTCTTCCTTTAAACCTTTCAAGTAAAAATACACATTCTGCATGGTAATTAAGCACCTTGTTGGAATTATAGGAATTGTTGTTTTGTAGGTTGCGTACATGTTTATCAAGTGCTGAAATGTTGTTTATTCATATTTTCTTATAAGTGATGCTTGTTTATAGAGCCTTTCTATGTTATATGATTCTTGTGTTACAAAAACACTGAACTGATATTGTAACTGATTTGCCACTGATGGAAAAATTAAGCACCACAGGACAAAACATTTCTTTTAATTCTGAAATAAACATTTATTTTTTACAAAAGTCTGTAAAATTGTTAGTGTAATTGTATTGTTTCCTATTCATCTGATGCAAACAATGTAAATGGGTTTTTGATTAGGTAAGCACATTGTGTAAAAAAATAAAATAAAAATCACGCAATCAGTGTTCAATATTTTTGTACAAACGCTTTTTCACTTTGAAACCTTTTCAGAAGTACAAGGTGAAATTTGATAGCAAAAATAGCGGACCCCTCTCAATTCTCCCAGCTCTTGAACTCCTGCATCAGCTGCCAGTGTAGCTCCTCTAACTTCTCAAGTTATACAAGCCTGGCATCAGGATCCTCATCGGAGAACTGTAGGAGACTCCCTGAGGGCTTCAGCACCTGTAAGCATTGCTTCACTATCTGTCCAGCCTTAACTTGACCTTCTTTAGACCTAACTAAAGCATCTGTACCCTTATCCAATATCAAGTCCAAGCTTCTGGCCCCAAAGTATCCTCTCAACTGTGTGCAGTCAAGCTCCAGGAAGGCAAGAGCAGAGGATGGGTTACATGCTGCACTGACGTAAAATTAGCGTGCTTCTCCAGAAGTTTCACTGCAACTGAAGAGATATCAGCATAGGTGACCCTGACGGCATATGGAGAGGTTTTGTAGATACAAGGTCCTAATGTGGATGTGCCACAACCCATGTCCAGGATGTTCAATGGGCCACTCTGGGAATGAGACATGCTCTGAAGTACAGGAAGAATTAAGTCCTGGACTGAGTGAAATCCAAGAAACACTCAATTTTTTAATTGGCCTTTGCTTCCATTTTCTGTGTAGAATCTGTCCCCTTTTTTGTCCATGTTTTCAGTCAACTCAGCTGTGAACACAAGTTTGTTAGATTTTAGAAAATGCATATATATATATATATATATATATATAAAATCCCCTTTCACTTACAATAAGTTTCTTAAAAAATGCTGTAAGTGACTTTAACCACTATCTCCCCTTTTACTCTTAATGGGAAGATAAAATGTATTGTGAATACGGGCCCTGTTTTGTTTGGTGCCGCATAAATCGAGTTTAATACATGTAAAATGCAAATATTTAACAGGTTAAGATACAACTATTTTAAAATTGCTATTAGTTCCCATGAAAATGACACATCAGTTTTGCTCTAATGGAATAAAAATAATCCTGCAAAATATTCCACGTTGTTATCTTATACAGTCTATGGTTGTTGTATGATAATCAAAATTAACGTCTTGACCAAAGTGAAACATTTGATAAGATGTATGGTGGGAAAAAGGAAATACATGTCAAACTAGTATGATGCCATCTGTGTGCCTTGGTCAGCTTTTGAAGGGTCCTCAGTGGCACTGCAAGCCTGTTAAATAACATTAAAAAAAAAAACCCAGCTCAAGTAAAGGTATTCCGTATTAAACAAAATACTAGCAGCATGTGTGATCCTGTAACTCAGTGTTACTCATTGCGCGGCTCGCGAGCCTCATGCCGCTCGCCAACTTATTTTTAAATAAAATAATTGTATTATCAAAAAATAAATTATTGATTATTTCAAAGGGTTACTAATGACACATCATTTGGATATTTTCATGTCTGGGAAAAATTTGGGATTAAACGGGTTAAAATGCGTTTTAAACAAAGTTAAAATAATCTTGTCTCAGTTACAAATTTGACTGGTAAATATGATAAAGAACGATAGCCCCTTTTGTATTGCATTGCATTGCATATGACAGATTAATAAAAAGACATGCTATTTATGACTGGATGCAGCTTTTGATACTTCGCGGTAAAAGTGGCTCTCCAATTGACTTTGCCCTATCAGTGCGGCTCCCATGAAAAAAATAGTGAAGACCACTGCTGTAACTGAATGACTGACCCGGAAGTGTACATGAGAGAGGGGGCGGTGGCAAAAGAACTCAATCAAGATGGCGAATGAGCAGCGGGAATCATCACAGGGAGAGATGGAGGGTAAGTGCAAAAATAACATTCCGCCACGCAGTTTAAAAGATCAGCTGACATGCGTAAACATCTCGCAGGGTCCTGCATGAGGGCACTTGCATTAGAGAAACAATCTGCTTTGACTGCTTTACGAGCTTGAGGAGGAAATGCAGAGCGTTAGATGTACAAAGAGTAGACTCTTCGCTCATTTAACCAAAATTAAAACCCAATCTTCCTAACGTTTTTCTAACATGTCATATTTCCATTACGACTCAAAGACTTTGATTTTACGCTCTTGATTTAAATAGAATAGTAGCATTGTTTGCAAATCAGCTGTAGACCGTAATATAATATTAAATCAGGGTTTATGAATGTAACGTAAGTGGTGAATCTCTTGGTGTTTTAGTTGTGTGGTAACAGTTATGTGCGGTTATTGGGGTGCGAATTACGGGAGGTTTGACCCTTCTAAAGAAGGATCTCCCCCTGATGATGGACGTCAAAACTAGATGTGGGGTGGGGGGGGGCTGATAGAAAGTAGGCTAGCCTACGCATAATATGGAGATTTACTTGTAAATATTAAGATGCATTTCTATAGCCCTGACTGATTTTAAAATGCAATTTTGGCAGCCCCTGAAGTGGGTCGTATTGATATTAACTTACCTTAGCAGTTGAAGCTGCAGCGATCATTCAAAGACATGGACGGAGCAAGAACACCTAAAATGCATGTGTGTAGATTCATTCAGTCGAGTGATAAAGTTTACCCTCTTCGACTTAATGCTGTTGCACTGAATTTACGGAGCAAACTATTTGCTAAAATAGTTAAAAAAAAGTAATAATACTTTTTTGTAATGTCTATTCAGTGTTTTTTTTTTTTTATTAACACACTATTATCTTTAATAATAACTTTATCTTTAATTAATTGGCACATTATGTCCATCCCCTGAAATGGCTCCGGGTGTGTGTTCACGGTGTGTGTGTGTTCACTGCTGTGTGTGTGCACTTAGGATGGGATAAATGCAGAGCACTAATTCCTAGTATGGGTAACCATACTTGGCCACATGTCACGTCACTCACTTTTCACTTTAAAAATGCTTAGAAACACGCAGCGTTCCCTCTCATAGGTCACTTCAATGCTGCGATGGCGTCATCGCTTTGGGAACACCCACGGTGTGACGAATGTCTGAAGCCCTTATACCATCACGCCAATTTATTGGCCAAATAGCGCCTAGCACCACCCCTCACGCATACGTAACGTATGCTATATCAGCGGGCCGCGCGCTATTTCATCAGATTTAAATTCTTTCAGGAAGCGAATCATCTGTCGCCCGTTGGAAAGCGTTTTCGTCGTGTTCTCAGCTATTTCTTCAAAAGAAAAAGAGCAGTTTACTCCTCTCAGCAGACACGATGAGCCATAGGAAGTGCATCGAGCCGTGTGACAGGTTCATCACAGCAGGAGACACGCATGACAGGTGCGTGCTATGCTTGGGCCGTAATCACGCTTAAGCTGCGCTTAGCGGCCTATCCAATTGTCAACACTGTGATAGCCTGCGGCTAAAAGTTTTGCGCTCGCGGCCATTTCGAAAGGCCTTGCGTCTAACTCCCGCCAATCCGTTTCTGCGGTTGCCAAGGCGCCGCATGAGACGATCGCTTGGGGTGACGCATGCGAGTCAGAGCACATGGAGAACGAGATGACGGAGTATTCTCCTTTCCTCTCGCTCTCGCCCGGCCATGTTCAAGAGCTCCAAAAGCATTATGTCGAGCCGGTTGTCTTCATCAATGACGATTTGCGGCCTACCCTGGAGGCCCGTAATGCGTTTTCCTTCGGTTGTGAGCTGTATGATGATGATGTGTTGTCCACCCCGGCCTCTGATTCAGAGGATTTAATGGCAGAGTCCTGCAGTTATCTCCCTCCGAGCGGACAGGAGAAACGCAATTCCCCGTGTTACAATGAGTTATTAGATGTTGTGACGCGCGCGGTGGGCAAGTTGGGATTAGACTGGGACTGAGCCGATGCAAGACCAGGCCCAATCTAAATTGGATGACCGTTTTTTGACTAGTCGTACTCCATCCCAGCTCCGTAGGCCTCTTCCCTTCTTTCAGGACCTCCACCAAGAGGTTTTGAGGTCTTGGAAGCAGCCTTTTTCGGCGCGTATTACAAACGCCGCTGCCGCTGATTTTGCCACCGTGTCTAAAATGGCAGATCACGGTTACGGGGCAATGCCGGCCGTCGAAGATACTCTCGCCACACACCTCGCACCTAATTCAGCTCCAGCTTGGAGTCGCGCCCTACGTTGCCATCCAAGCCATGTAGGATCACTTCCAGTTTAATCGGGAAATGGTCCATGTCAGGTAGGGTGTCAGTTGAGCGCCACCTTTGGCTCACTCTCACAGACATCAAAGAAAAGGACAAAACTTTTCTCTTGGACGCTCCCATTTCTAAAGACGGCCTATTTGGAGATTCAGTCACCACCGTGGTGGATAAGTTTCAGGCAGCAAAACAGCAGTCTGCCGCTTTTTGCCAGCTCATTCCGCGTAGGCCCAGGGAGGCAGAGCGTCAACCACCAATGGTCCGTTCACGCTCATCCTCTCTACACCGTCATCGGGAGGTTCAGCGTAGTGAACCATCACCTATGGCACCCCCTCGGAAGGATTGGGGTCCTAGGTCTCGTCCACCGGTTCGCCCGCGCCAACGCAAGCGGATAGACCTGAGTTCGACAGCCATGGCCTCTCGTTCTCAGGCTCCTAGTAGCATTCCCTGATTCCCTCGCTCGTCTTCGGAGGCCAGGCCCTCCTTTGGAGAGTTTGGTCGGACCGCACAAGCGTATCCACCTCTCTCAATGTGGCCTCCCGGCTCAGATCTTGACCGTCCCGCCGCTTACTGCACCTCGGACGGTTTTAGATCGAGTCTTCGCGGTGAGCACCTCCTCAGACACTCTGCGCGTTCCAGCCTTCAGAGCTCGAGAAAAAGCCCAAGGGTCATGCAAGCATGGCCCGTTTATGACGGCCTTCAAAGCTCCCACTCTTGGGGTGGTGGGCAGGCCCGACAGGGCA